AAACACCAGGGTGGCCTTTTTAAAGTTCGGCTGTCTTAGAAAGCACTAACTTTTTGTCTAGGTGGCTATTAAAGAAAATGTAATTTCAAATTAAACTTATTTTAAAGGCTTTGGAACGAATAATATAAATTGATTCGCAGCTAGATGCACCTGGAGTATGGGAATTATTAAAGACCCCACACACTAAACTGAGCGCCAGAATATCATCACATACAGGAGAAATGCTGTCCAGATTAGTATCGTTTTATGTATTAGATGTTGCTATGCCTGGTCTCTTTAAAATGTAGATAGTGTTACATTATTTAACTAAAAGTCTCCAAATAAACAGGCAGCTTCTAAGCCAGTCTAGCTAGTTACCAAGCAATGTATTCATTCACAATCTATGACATAGAAATATTCTCTCTCTCTCTCTCTCTCTCTCTCTCTCTCTCTCTCTCTCTCTCTCTCTCTCTCTCTCTCTCTCTCTCTCTCTCTCTCTCTCTCTCTCTCTCTCTCTCTCTCTCTCTCTCTCTCTGATAGCTAGTTTGATATTACAGGGCAATCTTTTGTAAAAAGCATTATAATTGTTGCCCAAAGAAAAGCATGAACAAAAGGTGGTATGGATGAATCTTTGTTATCAATCACGAGGGATATCATTTGGTGTGAATGGATCAATGCAGTAGCCTAAAACATAACAAAAGCACTAATCCCTAGACTGGCTATATTTGTAGTTGGAAGGGCACCCTGTTGACATCCCCTCCCCCACGGAGCGATAAACCAGTCTACGATTTGCTTTATTGGATTTTCTGGGACTGTTTACACTTTATTGTATCAACTTTACTAGGGTTCAATCTCTTAATAAACTCCCCTACCCGCATCAATTCACTCAAGCCCATTCATATTTTAAGCCAGCTACCTATTTCGGGGCTGTTGTCAAGATTAAAGTTTTGATGAATCAGCAGAATGAAGATGTGGCGCTTTTTGATCTCTTAATTGAAACCACGTCGACGACTAAATTTGTCATCCACTATATCAAAAAGAAAGTAAGTAAACTACTTAGATAGGTAGATAGTTGATTGAGTAGGTTGGAAAATAACATTCACTGATGTTCATAGATCAATCATCCTCTCATTCATTTAAATATTGATTCATGTATGTATGTATGTATGTATGTATGTATGTATGTATGTATGTATGTATGTATGTATGTATGTATGTATGTATGTATGTATGTATGTATGTATGTATGTATGTATGTATGTATGTATGTATGTGTGTGTGTGTGTGTATGTATGTATGTATATGTGTGTGTGTATGTATGTATGTATGTATGTATGTATGTATGTATGTATGTATGTATGTATGTATGTGTGTGTGCGTGCGTGCGTGCGTGCGTACGCACGCAAATATGTAAGTACGCACGCACGCACACACGTACGTACGTACGTACGTACGTACGTACGTATGTATGTATGTATGTATGTATGTATGTATGTATGTATGTATGTATGTATGTATGTATGTATGTATGCATGCATGCATGCATGCATGTATGTATGTATGTATGTATGTATGTATGTATGTATGTATGTATGTATGTATGTATGTGTGTGTGTGTGTGCGTGCGTGCGTGCGTACGCACGCAAATATGTAAGTACGCACGCACGCACACACGTACGTACGTACGTTCGTACGTACGTACGTACGTACGTATGTATGTATGTATGTATGTATGTATGTATGTATGTATGTATGTATGTATGTATGTATGTATGTATGTATGTATGTATGACATAGCCTCTACATAAGAGATGACGTCCAGTTATTTTCATTATTGCAATGTAAAAACATTACGCTGACATTATTGAATATAAATCACGCTATACATGTAAATATATTTACAATATTACAATGATCGTCATTTGACCTCAGCATTAGATTATATTTTCAGCCTCAATTTCATTAACATGATGACCAATATTGAAAACAAGGGAAATACAAAAATATGTATTATCTGCAAAACAAATCTTTTTAAGAGAGTCCAAGGACTGAATTATAATTATGCGGTACTCCATTTAATGTGGTACTCCATTCAATTAACAATATGTAAAACCAAAGCCAAGAATTTCCACCATGTTAAGTAAATCTTACAATGGAGTGATCGTTCCATCAGCCTAACTAGTTTCAAATCGATCTTTGTAGTTTATTTCATGATGTATCTAGCATCAATTCGGTTATTAAAAGTTATGGATTCAGTCAATGAGTCAGTCAGTTAGTTTTTCCGTTATGCCATTCGTCACTTTCTATGTCTCAAGATTTCCCACTTCTTACGGTGTCGTTTAAATTCCGATTCAGTCAATGAGTCAGTCAGTTAGTTTTTCCGTTATGCCTTTCGTCACTTTCTATGTCTCAAGATTTCCCACTTCTTACGGTGTCGTTTAAATTCTACTCACCATGTAAATTTAATCGTAGAGTGGACAGTTAGTGAAGATTTATACTGGCTTATAAATCAACCCGAGATGCAAACAATATAGACCCCGATGTTGCGTCGCAAATCGCTGGTCGATTTGGTTCTATGGTTGTTTGTTCTATTGATTATCCTTAGCCACTGCATAGACCCAGATCAGTCGACGTATTATGCATTGAGCATTATACACGGTTGTGAGCCTCATAGGTGAGTTAACCTTGTTCATTTTAAATCGTTTGTTTCTTTTGCACCATTTATTCCTATTCAATAAAGGAGGCGCCCGTCTTATTAATTCAAGTCATTTAAAGGTCACATCGTTCGTCTGAGGTAAATGTTTCTCTTTCTTTCTTTATTGAAATGTCTTACAAACTGTACATATCGAGAAACTGTTTTGTATTTTCATTGTTTTCAAATCAATTATACATACATACATACATACATACATACATACATACATACATACATACATACATACATACATACATACATACATACATACATACATACATACATACAGTCATAAGTATCAAATTATACAGGTTTGCATCCAACATACAGGACAGCGAGTAAGAGAAACAATCTTCATCTAGACTGTTGTCGGTAAATACTCAAGTAGTTTAACATGACCAAGCCAGGAACGTAAGAGCCATGTACGACTAGACTTTGTTTGAATTAGAAGGCGATCCATGTGTACCACTGGACACCTTGGAATCAATCTGGAATGTGCAATACACGTCTCGATATAGTATTATTAATCACTTCTTGGCAACCATATGGCTCAAGTGATACAAATATACATACATAATTATAGACAGACAGACGTAAAGAAAGGCAGACAAAAAGACAGTCGGAAAAACAACATTTGTGCACAAACAAAATATTATTGAATTTTCTCGCATTTTGGGTAGGAAATTGTATAAATAGTACGAAACCAAGATGTACACATCTCACAATACCTTGATAGATATTTGCTACGTTGAAAGATAACGTTTTTAAAAAGTGTTTAAGTTATGTATATGCTGTATAAATCCAATTTGTCTATGACCATGCAGGAAATCATAGTACCGAGAATGTACGCCTAGGGCTGTCATTCGGACCACCTTATCTATTTACGAAACACGGATTTATAGAGATGTTGCGAATGCTCCGAACAATATTTTCATTTCGCAAGTTTTCGGTCAGTTCTACGGAGAATACGGCGTATACAATCGTATAAATAGTTGTTGTCCGAAAATATTGCATGGTTTGTTAGTTTTGTTTGTTTGTTTGTTTGTTGATTTTATCAGTGAAAGTTTATAAAGTTCATCGACATTTAGTTATATGTTTAGAAAAAATTAGAATACGACTCATCGATCTGAATAACAAAGTTTACCACAGTTTTTTTATTATGGCGGAAAGAATCCGCCTCTGTATAGTTGTAACCTTAAAAGAAAATTAGCTTTGATCGGAAAGATCAAAAGAACAAATTCTATGGCTCTCCATTGCAAATCCCTACATCTTGAGTTACATGTCCCCAATCCCTACCCCAAAACAAAACACACACACACACACACACACACACACACACACACCATCTTAACCAAGGAGTTGTAACACAAAACTCAGTGCATGCATTATGTACATATTTGATAACTGAATCCCTTCTAATAAAACCAATAAGAGTACACAAAAACTATATACCCACTCCAATAGATGTAACATAGAAACTTACAGTGTCTGTAGAATTACACATAGTGATTTAAGACAGAGTTAAGGATAGTGGGAGGGACGATCAGATAGAGGGTGTGTCCCTCTCTAAAGCGCGGGGAAAGAGACATGTAAATTCTTTCATCTAGTTCAGGAGTGAACGCTATCATCATGCTATAGAGATTTAAATCTAGACAGTTCTTCTGATATAACTTCTTTTCATTCACAAGAACGAATTCACTCATCGTGATTCCTGTGAACATTATTAGGCCTTTACCGAACTCGTAAATCTTTCCAAAGTTCGACGAGTAAACAAATCTCTCTCGTGAATCTATTGAAAACTTGTTGACGACGTAAAATATCGTAGATTTGGGAAAGGAGGGCAGATGTTTGTCAATATTCTGGATAAGAACTTTAAAAAATGTCGAGTTGAACTTTTTATTTTTTATTCTGACTTACAACAGTTAGCAGATAGCATATTCTCTGTTAAATTAACAAGATGTCTCAGCTTGTCTTTGCGGTTTGTTTATTTATCCAAAGTGTAATCATGAACGATTTTTATTGGTGCTGGGTTGAGTTACAAAAGCAACATTTTTTTATTCAAACCTTGTTAGTGTGAAACGTTTTTTCTTTTATTACATCACCATTTATTCTCACACGGTTGAAATGACGTACAACCGGCTATGAAATTTGAATTTCTGTATCACACACCGAGACTGAAATATCTGGGTGTTTTCACTTATGTCCACACTTTGGTGATGACACGTGGCGAACATTTTTATTTGTTTGCAAGTTTTACGTCTCTTTTAAAATATTGCTGACCATATCATGCTGCGGAAATGGGAGATTAGCGCCTTTCCCAAGTACACACCGATGTAGCCGACTTGGGGTTTCGAACACGCGACTCTTAGATTACAACTCTGACGTTCTACCAACTAAACTATCGTGGCTCCTGGATTGAATACCTCTCTTTCATAATCCTCTCTTCACCCTCACCATTTCCACTAACAAAAGGGCCAAAACAGGTGTACGTGAACACACACTAGCAAACACCTTGGTGAAATCTTGAAAGCAACAAGCCCGTGTTGAAAAAGACTTACCACAATAAGTCCTCAACCAAACTCTCATTTACAACCAAACTCTTCTAACACCCCAACGAACAAAAGGGCCAAAACAAGATGCTAGGAGAAAAAAAACTAAAAAAAAAAAAAAAAAAAAAACAATCCTGCGTACAACAAGCCTTTGTGATACAAAGATTTTCCATCATAAGCCCTCTCCATCTCCCTTCTATGTCACCCTCAACTCCTACCAACACAAGATGACTAAAACGTGTGCTAGGGAAAACATACTAGCAAACACGTGGTTGACATCCTTACAACAGCAAGCCTGTGTTGTTGACAAATTTTCCATCCAGAATCCCCTTTCCCCACCCTTCACTCCCTTCTTCCCCCCACTACATTATCTATGGGCACTTCTATTGGCAATCGAAGGCCTCATTCGATTACACCACTACATATAACCATCTTGATCCTTTGGACTTCTCTGTATCAGAAACAACAACTTAGACTAACAATTGATGACACACACACACACACACACACACACACCGCTTAAAAAAAGGGTCGCTGAAGCCCAATTAATTGGTATAATTTTGACAATGGAAGTACGCTTAGTACACAAAATTCCAACTACATTAAAATAAGATAAGATAATCTTCAACTTAGAACTTAGGTCAATTGCACAGGTGGCTTACACAATACTGGAGATAGGGAACGTCCATTAGAACATCTGGACAGAATTTGACATACAATCCACTACAAGGTCGGTCCATTCTCTTGACACCAGATCGACCTGTCCTAACACTAACCTCTTAATGCTGAGCTTCAAGCCAGACAGTTGTTAGTGCCATTTTTGTAAGTCTTTGGTATGACTCGACGGGGGATCAAACACACGACCTCCCGCATCCGTGGCGGACGCTCTAACCATTAGGCTACATGAGAGGTAGCGTAAGGTAGTCGCAAAAGTTCTAAGTTAGCGTAGGCGACTTTAATAATTGTCAGTCAGTCCTGGATCGAATTGAATAATTTGATAATCCTAATTAAATTCACACTGCAACAATAAGCAATTTGGAATGTGTCAAAAGATGGATAATAATAAATACAAACTAGTATTCATGCTTTGCACCAAGTCAGGAAAAAAATACTACTTTACTGTGAATTATGAATGTACAACTCATAGACCATATCAAACTCGTAGTTTCCGCAATCTCGGAACAAAACATACACGTTGTGTTATATTTCTCAAAAGGACAATTTCGTCCGAAGCCCCATTTAGTTCAACGTTCTTCGTATCCTTGAGGAGGTCAGATACAAAAAGCTCAAAAAACCCCTTAAAAATACAGTGTTCCGTCAATTAGCACTTAGGAATTCCAATAAATAATTTGAATAAATAATTCCACTCAAAATTTTACCTGCACATAACTAAAAACTCTTATAAGAAACGGATTATAGAGACTGATCTGAGACAGGAATAAATTATTTGTTTATCAAGTCTCTCCCCAATCAAATTGTAATCAAGTTTATTTCTAGAATAATTTAACTGAAGTACTATTATTTACAACTTACAAATCCTGGGCAAAGGTTTTTATGTAAATATGGTTACATTATCTGGATCTTACAATCATGGAGAAAAGTTAACCACACAATTAAATTTACATAACAGTTAAAACGACTAATAAATATGTGAATAAGTTTTGATGTAAACTATCATTTCTAATAATGGATCTAACATCAAACGTTTGGTGAGCACAATAGGCTATGTAAATAGTTCCCCAAATCGTCAGACAACTTAGAAAAACCTGGTCTAATCCGTTACGATGACCGTCACAAGCTGGAAAACGTTTCAGACGACAATTTTATGTCCAGATAACAAACACGGTGGGGGGGAGGGTATTGTAAATGTTGCAAATACTAGTGAGCTAAACATCATAGTTGTGCATCCCTTCAAAGAACGCCTACACACATTGAAATCTGGTTATCCAATTATTGATAAGTTCAAAAAGTTAAAACAAATTATGGAGAACTTTTAAAATAAACCGAAGCTGCCAACCAAAGCTGACAGACACTTTCCGTCTGAATTAATGGGTCACAAAATGGAACTCTATATACAGTTAAGTATTTCATGCTGAAGAACTAAACATTATTGACGTCTTCATTTTTCTTCTTAAGTTTTTAAATACGACTTTTATTTTTTATTTTTTTTTCTTGAGCAATTTTTCCATCCCATTCGATGCTTGAGATCTCTAATTCACCGGCAAAACACGTTAGCACGACAGATGTTGTCTTATGATAACAGAGTATAGATTTTAAAAAAATACTTCACAAAAGAACGAATACGGCATAGTTATAATATTATTTAACTCCGTGTAATGTTCTCCATGTAATAATGAATATGAAATAACAAATACGTAACAAATACTAAATCTAGATGAAAATGTAGTTTTTGTGTATGTACTGATACAGTTACGGAAAATAAACACTTCTTGACTTCCAACTTGTTGGAACAAAGTCATCCAAGATGTCATACTGTTTTGACGGCAGCCATGTTAGACCCAAGTCATCTAACACGTCATGCTATTTTGAGGGCAGCTATGTTAGACAAATGTCAACCAAGACGTCAGACTGTTTTGATGGCAGCCATGTTAGACCAAAGTCATCCAAGATGTCATACTGTTTTGACGGCAGCTATATTAGACAAATGTCAACCAAGACGTCATACTGTTTTGACGGCAGATATGTTAGACCAATGTCATCCAAGACGTCAGACTGTTTTGATGGCAGCCATGTTAGACCAAAGTCATCCAAGATGTCATACTGTTTTGACTGCAGCCATGTTAGACCAAAGTCATCTAAGACGTCTTGCTATTTTGACGGCAGCTATATTAGACAAATGTCAACCAAGACGTCATACTGTTTTGACGGCAGATATGTTAGACCAATGTCATCCAAGACGTCAGATTGTTTTGATGGCAGCCACGTTAGACCAAAGTCATCCAAGATGTCATACTGTTTTGACGGCAGCCATGTTAGGACAATGTTATCCAAAACTCCATACTTTTTGACGGCTGACTTCAAAATGTCATAGTTTTGCGGACAACTTGTTGGACTAAAGTCATCCGAAACGTCATACTGTTTTGAGAGACGACTTGTTGGACCAAAAGTCTTCCAAACTGTCATACTGGTTTGATGACTGACCTGTTCTACTAAAGTCATTATTATACATCTGACGACGACGTAGTCTTCAAAGTAGATTTGCGTCTTTTCTTCAGAATATGACCAATACTTGTATGTTCTCCTTTATTCTTCACTGTGGTCTTATATGTGATCTGGACGATTCCAAATGGTTTAAAATGCAATGCTTAAATAGCATGTATTGACTGGTTACATATTTAATGCAGTAATTTGCATGTGTTCCGTAAATTATTTATTCATTTTATTTTGAATCTGTTAGGAAAAGTCATGTTCAATGCCTATAGAAGATATTCAACACTTGCATCCTTATTCTCTTTTGGTTATCTGGCGACCGTTGTAACGTAGCAGTCGCCTATGATTTCAGTATTCTTTACAGTACAAAAGGATAGTCATTTACTTATTGTTAAAAATGTTTACATAAGCTATCAGGTCCACGTGACTGAAGTAAATACAGAGGATCCTACAGGTGTGATCATTTCATATGAAATTTATGAAACTGTCTAATCATATCAGATGAAATTTACAAAAAACCAGTCTGATCATTTCAGATGAAAGTTATGAGACCAGTCTAACAATTTCCATCTTCTGCAAGACTTGGCTCGGATAATGACTGAAATTAAAGGACAAATTTTATAAGTTTCATTTGATCTCAGCATAAGTGTATGGTCACATTTGTCACACGACGAAAATACTGGTCTTACATGAGAGATTCACAGAACAGTGTAGTAGAATGACTCTGAAATGCTGTCAGATGAGATTGTCGTTCCTTCTTCCCAAATAGTAGACTACTTGTGAGGATATTGGGTTTTATTGCATGAGTTACATATATAGAGGATCTCAAATGTGTAACGATTTAATATTGAATTTATGAAACAAGTTGAATAATGTCCAGCTTTTGCGAGCCTTGGCGAGCAAAAGCTGGACATTATTCAACGAGTTTCATAAATTCAATATTAAATCGTTATTATTTTTATCACATAGTTTTTATTTAAGTGGAAATTATTTAGATTGATAGACGAACTAATAATTTCGTTCATTCTGACAGACGGTGTACCTTTCATTTGTTGTGCATAAAATATAGTCCCAAAGAAAGTTGAACTAGTAAAATTAGATTGTACAAACTATAAATCAAAGATAAAGCTTCCATCCGAATAAACAGAACATGTTGTAACCACAAAATTATTTTTCAAAACAGAATTATAAATGTGATGTGATGCTGCTACATTGTTTTACTGTAAGATGTCACAGTACATCAGGCCGACAGTAGAATATACGTGGACCCTAAAATGTGTGTTTAAAAACGTTACATTGTTGCGATTTTCATGTTAAATGGATTACCGGATACAAAAAGTCCCACATTTACTGCAATGCATTTGTGACCTAATATTTGTAGTGCTTGATTTGAAAAATAGACTTACAGAAGACGTCAACAAATTTATTTGTTACATCCCATATATGCTACGTAAAGATGCAGTGGTTCGATAAAGATCTGTCAGTTAGGAGACCCATTCATGTCCTGATTATTCTCCGAACAGAGGTGAGTTTGTTTACTTCGTTAATTTAACATTTAAACCACGCTTGTATATACGGTGGATTCTATATCTATGTTACTCATATACGCACCACACCCACCCCGCTATCCCTTAGTTTTATTCGTTATTATCGTTCTTGTCTTGTAGTTTTATGCCTTTTATCTTATG